CCCCAAAACCCCAAAACCCCAAAACCCCAAAACCCCTTAATTTATAAACTTATTGAACTTTTAGTAATAAAATGATTCCTGACATCCAACTTCTTAACAAAGGAAGTCTAACAGAATATTTCACCGGTCTAGAGGATATCATAAATGAAGATATCGCTATCCCTCCTGGGGAAGAAGGCAAAACTTTTCAAACTGAGAAGCTCCATGATTTAAAGATTGAGGTAAGCAGCTTAAAGACAAGCATTTTTACGTTGTATTTTACCTTTTTGTCGAATTGGCAAAGCAATAGCTTATTGAAGGGATCCTCATTGTTTTAAAGATGCATTACTTTGTTCCTTACTTCATTATACTACTCACATTTGTTTTTCTTTGCTAACATCTAATACAGGCTGAATTCTTGTTATCAAGAGGAATGCAGAAAATTGGTTGTGGTCAGGAAGCACTCTATGGATACATGAATCTAATAGATAAATTGAAGAAAAAGAAACATCTTACACCTACTGAATTATTTTTTTGATCACAATCTTATTACAGAATCAGCCAACTCCACTTAGAGCTAAAGTTCATTGATAAAGCAAAGAGCTACATGGAGATGTATGAGAAGTTTCAAGAAGAATATCTCTTCGAGCTCGGGAGATGAGATAAAACATCTGAAATAACTCTAAAAATAGATTATCTTAAATAACCAGATCCTTAAGAGAAAAGCATGGCTCTTGCACATTTCATGAGATGACGATAAAGCTCTTTCAACTCTTACAGAAGTCTACTCAAGTGAGAGAAAGTAAAATTTAAGCTTTGTTGAACTAATTTTATTCTAGAATACGTAGTACCATATCCGAACTTGACATCTCAACTTCGTTGCCACCTTACCATAGATTAGAAATGAGAATTGCAAGAACATTGCTAATGATCTCATCAATATACAAAAGCAGGTTTGAAGTAAAGAAGGCAATTTATTTTGAGTCTCAAGCTCACAAGTCATTCTTCAAAGGATACAGAGAAGAGGAGGAAAAGGAAACAGTCTTCACTGCTGATTTCCTAATGCACACTACCAGCTACTGACCCTACAATCATTATGAGAGAGCTAATTCAATCTATGAGAAAATATTTGGCTCCAAGAGCCCAAAATTTCTAAATTCCTTCAGGAGAATTGCTGACACAAAGATTTCAAAATACGAATACCATGATAATATAAGTCTGTACAAAGTAGATACAAGATATTTCAACGAGATTCCTGAAAATACGCTTTCCTCAGAGGCTAAAAATAGTGCAAACTTTGAAGAAGCAGGAACCTTTTATAAATACATTGAGGGTCAGCTTGAGGAGAGCTACTTTAACGTGGGATACTATGAAAAACTCTATGCCACTCACACACAGATTCTCATTAGACAAGCTTATATCCAGATTTACCTTCTCAGAAATGGGAAAAAGGCAAGACCAAAAATACTGAAGTTATCAAAACTGATTTTAAAGAACTATATTGACCTTTACAATTCAAAGTCGATATTCTGCCTCAACCCATACCTCGGAGTGGTATGAGCATCAATGCGGAACCAAGACTTGAAAAAGGCAGAAAGATACTCTGTTAAAATGATTGAGATTTGTGAGAAATATATCAAAGGTATGGGCAACCAATATAGCTTAATCTCCAACATCCACATCAGTGTGATGTATTTCATGATGAAGCAGTATCCCAGGTCCAATGCCTTATTCAAGGAGATCTTGCATCAAGAGCTTGAATATGTTAACAACATTAAATCTCATCCTTACTTAGAACAAATATATCTCCATCTAGCTTTGATGTATGAAAAGTTGAGAGAATATAACTCAGGCTTGCTGATGTGGAAGAGTTTACTTAAAGTTCACAAACAAAGCTACGATAGAAACTGTACTTACGTCAGCAAGGACTACCTTTACATTGGCCAGTTGTACATAGACCTTGAAGACCTCAGTAAGGCTCTCTATAACGTAAGTATTTGGCTCTAAAATGAAGCTTGAGATGAGCAAAGAATGTATTGAAAACTTCCTTAAAACTCTCAATGAAGTTAATGGCAAAGAGGCATCATTCCAAGGTGCTTATTTTCAAGCCGAAATTCAAAAGTAATCTCTCACTTTAAAGCTTTAGCATGATAGATGAAGAAGAGAAAAACCTTACCAAGATCAATAAGCTCATTGAAGATACTAAAAAGGCCCAAGAAGAAGAAAAAGGATCAACGAAACTCAGTGCTTCTTCAAAAGTATTATTTTCGAGGAATGTCTAATAATGTAGCCTAAAGATAAGATTAAATTTGAGCAAGAAAAAGAAGTCAAAGTAAATCCTCCTTCTCCATTCTAATACTCTTAGAACGAAACTGGTCTGAGCGTAATCTATGAAGAGTCAATGCTCCAATCAAAATTTGAATCAATCAGAAAGCTTGGTAAGCAACCGGCTTACTCTATATAGATGAAAAAGTGATAATCCCAGCTCCTGATCCTTCAAAGACTCCTAATATATCCCAGGCTGCTCTTCCTAATACCCCGCTGTGACATGTAGTAACAGAATCACGTCCAGACATAGGAACGATGCAAGCAGAATATAGTGAAGAAGTAGAAGATATATTCAAGCAAAGCCCATCCAGCAAGCTCATCTAGAGCTCATGACTAAACTTAAGAGGTCTAAATCACATTTTGGCAGAAAGATAAAATTTAAAAATTAAATATTTTTGAACCAATCGTCGGCCTCATAAATGGGGTTTTGGGGTTTTGGGGTTTTGGGGTTTTGGGG